ATTACACCTTTTATTAATGTGTGTGAAATCAATTAAACAAAATTATGTAATCGTTTTATTTAATAATAATAATAATTTTTTTATTATTATTTACAATGATGTGCATTCCCCCCACCCCACCCCCTCCCACCTTTTCTTGACTTGTTGAAATACATTTTTTTTTTTATGTTATTTTACAAAACACAAAATTTTGGGCACACGCACATGTATATAAATGTGTGTGCCGCATTCAATTTTATTTGTTAACCTTTTATTAACTATTATTAAAAAAAACATTTTCGAATAATTATTAAATAAAAAAAAAATTAAAATTTTACAATCAAGTTAAAAATCAATCAATCAATCAATCAATCAATCATTAATCCTCTGATTAAAAAAAAAAAAAAAAAATTATTTTCATTTTGTTTTTCCATTTAAAAACCATATTAAAAACAAGTTTGATTATTTTTTAACAAATATTATTATTATTTATTCATTTTCGCTCTAAATAAATGAACCTATTTATAAAAAAAAATTAATTAATTAATTAACTAAACGAAATATTTACAATTATAATTAAAATTAATTAATTAAAAAAAACATTTCAGATTAATTATTAATTCAAAATAATTCAATAATAATTTTCATACAGATTAATACCTAAATTTTCCATGCCAATAGTCATAAATAAATTCTTTTTTTTTTAAATAATAATAATAATAATAATAATAAAAAATCATACACATAAATCGTATTACTCTTTTATCACACACTTTAAACAGTTTTATATATATATATTTGGTTTAAATAATAATAATAATAATAATAATAATAAATGGAGAAAACCATTTAAATATTCAGTGCATTATTACTAATTACAATAATTGAACAAAAATTAATTGTTATTTATAATTTTCTATAAACGATTTATATTTATTTTATTTTATTTATTATTTATAATTTTATTATTATTATTATTATTATTATTGCATAATAACAATATGTAAAATGATGCGCGGTGGTGGACGCCTGAGGAAAATTAAATTTTTATTAACAAGCACCTTATTGTTTTTAAAATAAAATATTGCACTTGATAATTTTCCTTCACGTAAATTAACAAGTATTATTATTATTATTATTATTTTAATTCTGACTACAATAAAAACAAAATTAAATATAAATCCTCAGGTATATTTCGTATAAAGTCCCTAATAAATTTATTTATTTATTTATTTATTATTAGATTCGATCCCTTTTTGTCTTCCTTTTTTGTTCTTCTCATGTAATCCTGGACAAATCATATTCAACTGTAAATATTTTTAAAACAAAACAATTAATTTGTAATTGATTATTATAATTTTGGATAAAGGTAAAAAAATTTAAATTTAATTTCATCGGTAATAATAATAATAATAAT